CATAACTACCTCATCATGCTAGAGAATGAATCCACTTTAAATCCGGTTGCTGCCTCCTGCAGAATTATGGGGTATGTAGTTTAGGGAGGAGCCTTTAACAGCCTCACCACAAACCCCAGAATTCTGCAGGATGCAGAAACTGGATTTAAAGTGGATTCATTCTCTAGTGTGATGAAGCATGTCTTTTGAGAAGGGATAGTTCACAGATGAGGAGGTGAAGGAGGACCATGTCAAAAGTGCTTCCGCTCTGGCAGCAACCCACCTATCTTTCTGCACTTGGGATAGGCAATCTCCACAAAGGACCAAGAAGATGATCTAAGCTCTTCTATTGCAAAAAGGAACCTTGCTAAGAAGGTTATTTAGTCTCATCCCTCAAGACTTTTCCTTCCAAAAGAAAGTGGAAACTGCTGTATTTTTAGCAGGGGAAGAGAAAGTCAAAAACAATCCTAAGAATTCAGAGCTGGGACTGATCCTAGAATATCAAGGGGGGGGGGAACTACCCCCTTGACCTTCTGTACTACAAGCTGTTTTGTGTTTCCATCCTTATTTTGTGTGTCTCATATTTGGCTGCTACTGAAACTGAACTCATTCATCTGTGCTAAATACAAGACTAAGCAGATGTCAAGCAAAACACTACAATCACTGAGAGAGGTTTTAGGCCCATGGATATCTGAGTAGAGACAGATTATGTTTGCTAGAGTTTAAGAAAATTAACAAATGCATGATTTAAAATGTTTGTTGTAGTTTATTAGTTTAGTCACTTCCGGCTCTTTTTGACCTCATGGACCAGCCCACGCCAGAGCTCCCTGTTGGCCATCACCACCCCCAGCTCCTTCAGAGTCAAGCCAGTCACTTCAAGGATACCATCCATCCATCTTGCCCTTGGTCAGCCCCTCTTCCTTTTTCCTTCCATTTTCCCCAGCATCCTTGTCTTCTCTAAGCTTTCCTGTCTTATGCGGCCAAAATACTTCATCTTTGCCTCTAATATCCTTCCCTCCAATGAGCAGTCATTGGAGGGAAGGATATTTTATTTCCTGAAGTATGGACTGGTTGGATCTTTTCCAAGGCACTCTCATAATTTTCCTCCAACACCACAGTTCAAAGGCATTTATTTTCCTTCGCTCAGCCTTCCCTGTGGCCCAGCTGTCACATCCATAGGTTACTATGGGGAATACTATTGCTTTAACTATGCGGATCTTCGTTGCCAGGGTGATGTCTCTACTCTTCACTATTTTATCAAGATTGGTCATTGCTCTCCTCCCAAGAAGTAAACGTCTTCTGATTTCCTGGCTGCAGTCTGCGTCTGCAGTAATCTTTGCACCTAGAAATACAAAGTCTGTCACAGCCGCCATGCTTTCTCCCTCTATTTCCCAGTTATCAATCAGTCCAGTTGCCAGAATCTTGGTTTTTTTATGTTTAACTGCAACCCAGCTTTTGCACTTTCTTCTTTCACCTTGATTTAAAGTGAATGTGGGAAATATATGGCCATCTAGATACATTGTTCATTAGTTGAGTTTATATATTCAAGGCAACATTTGTGCTCTGCTGCTGCTCCTTTATCTTCACATCAGCCCTGTGAAGCAGGTCAGGGTGTGTGTGAGAGAGATTGAGCCAAGTGGTTTGGGGGGTTTGTCATGTAGACAGCCCACATCCCAACTCAGTGTACTTAGCAGCAGCTTCTATCATTTCTCATCCTTGACAGTTGTAACTAGAACTAAAGGAAGACTGCAAGTTGTCCACCTTTGGATTAATTCACTCCTGTTACCCCCCCCCCCCCCGTTAATAACTGCTTGAGTTTCAAGAAACTGGGTGATTAAATAAATTTTATACGATTGATCCATTTTAAAACCTTAAATTGCAGGGTATGTAGGGTATTGAGTGTAATTCATAAATACAGTTACAGTGAGTTAGCCACAGGATTCCCAAGAGTAAAAAAGCATAGCAAAAGGGTGACTGCAGATGTGGAATAAACCACTACTATGTCCACAGGTGGGAAAAATACCTCATTTAATTTCAATTTTATTTTTTGTTTATATCTCCCCCCCCCCCCCAGAAGCATACAAGATAAACTAACATATGGATTAAATCAAATGCACTCACAAGATAGATAATACCATACTTAAAAAGCAATTGAATAAACAGTTACATTGAAACACTAATTTAAAACAGTTGAAAAGATAGTTGCAGCACCATAACAATGATAAAAATTAAATCTAAAGATCTATGGCCAATTAGTACTCAAAGGCCTGAGTTAATTGAAATGCCTTTGCCTAATACCACAAAGAATACAGAGGAGAGGGTCAACCTACCCTCTCATAAGAGGGAATGACGTAGCCTGGAAGCAGCCATCGAGAAACATGGTCATTGCTGCTTTCGGGCAGCAAAACTGTTTCTAAATTTATTTGTCCTCCATAAGTTAGATGAGGAGCCCCTGACGGCACAATGGGTTAAACTGCTGAGGTACTGAACTTGCTGACTGAAGGTCACAGTGGGTTAAACAGCTGAGGTGCTGAAGTTGCTGACTGAAAGGTCACAAGGTGAGCTCCCACTGTTAGCCCCAGCTTCTGCCAACCTAGCAGTTTGAAAACATGCAAATGTGAGTAGATCAGTAGGTACCACTCCAGCGGGAAGGTAACGGTGCTCCATGCAGTCATGCTGGCCACATGACCTTGAAGGTGTCTATGGACAATGTCGGCTCTTCGGCTTAGAAATGGAGATGAGCACCAACCCCCAGAGTTGGACATAACTGGACTTAATGTCAGGAGAAAACCTTTGCCTTTACCTAAGAAAGAACTGACATCTGCCACAAGTAATATCTTTTTTAAATGCAACAGTTTCCCCCTAGAAAAAAATAGCATTTTGTACTAGGTGCACTTTTTAAAAAATAGAATAAAATTATCTCTGTTGCCATAAACTGAAAATGGCTTGAAGGCACAAAGAAAGAAGTATTTTAACAACAAACAGGCAAACTCCACTACCACAAATAATTTGTTCCTCCTTATCTCATCCGCAATGACTAGGATATGGATGAAAGAGGAAGTTATCATGGTGTGCTCTCTAGTGGCTGGGGACTATAGAGAGGAATTCACAGGAATTGGCTCTCATCTTCCAAGCAGTTACCCTTTCTGATGTGAGTGCCTTCTCAATAGAGCCCAGGCTAGGAAGATTTGTGCAATGCCAAAGTCTCCTGACTCCAACATGAAGAAAAAGTATAATTCCAAAGAAGAGTGACTTAAAAAGAAAACAAAGGAGAGAAAGATTTTTAGCAATGAAGAGCAGGAAACAGCCAGTGATTCCTTATGAAATGTGGAATGGTTTATGGAAATGGCTTTTAAATTTCCCCTTTACTGATATTGTTTTAATGTGTTTTATAGGATGGTTATTATTGCTATTATAACGATTTGTTTTATACTATTTAAATTGTATTTTATTTAAGTTGTGCTATTATTTATTACAGTACAAGGCATTAAATATTTGCCATTTTATGTCTATGAGCCACCCTGAGTCCCCACGGGGAGATAGGGCAGGATATAAATAAAGTTTTGATTGATTGATACATAGAAGTCAAGTTAGATGAGTGTAGAAAGCCAGCAACAGGAGGCTTATGACTGCAAACTGACAGTCCCACTTCTGTGCTAAAGCGATGGCTGGAAAGACTGACAGCGTGAAACTTGGCTATAGAATGAGAGCATATGGAATACAGCTAAAACAGTGGCTGCCTCAAACTCCCTCGGGAACCAAATTGATATTGCTCATACTTGCTGTTTTTCTAGCAGACCCAGAAAAACCACAGAAATGCAAGCATGCCTCAATAATAGTAACCTTCTATATCTCCAAGGACAAGAAATAAAGTTGCAAAGAGTATGCTGCAGGCCCACACACAGCTAGGAGACCTTATTGGCATGGGGGTTTTCCACACTGAAGAAATAGGGGGAAATGTGCCATAATGGCTCATTTTACCCATTTCACCTCAATAAGCTTGCAGTTCTCATGGAAAAACTGTTATACACTTCATAAAATCAAGATATGTAGGTTTGCTCTCTTGAGTGTAGCCACTCCATTGGTTTCTAATATGTCTGGTCTTGTTCGCTGCTCCAGTGAGTAGAATGGGATTTTTACCCTCAGCACACCCGATCTTACCAGATCTCAGAAGCTAAACCAGGTTTGGATAAGATGCCACCAGGAAATATCAATGCTCTCCAGATGGATTAGGAAGGAATGTTGTCTGAAACTCTAGAGAGACACTGCCAGACTGGTTGAACAGTATCAGGCTAGTACTATATATAATAAGGCAGTTTTCAAAATTCCTTCTTAAACTGAGGGTCCCAGCCACAAATGGGGTCAATGTTGGGGTCCAGAAATATTTGGCAAAAGTAAAAGGTTTCTGAATGCCACCTATTTACACAGATCTTTTAGCAGCAACATGCAGTGTTTACAGTGGACTTTGTGCAAAAAATGCTTTAGCTGTACTCCACACAAAGGAAAATAAGCCTGCTTTAAGTATTGAAAATGCTGATTGATTATCAGTAAATGTTTGATTTTTATACCTATTTTATATACCTGTGGTCACGTCAAAATTTCTTGGGTGGAAAGGTATGAGGTGGAAAAGGTTCAAGAAGCTCTGCTATATATGACTCACTGCAAAAAAAAAAAATCCCTTTCCAGGATAAGTCTGATCTCATAACACTGGTTTATAAAGCAATATGTGTCAACTCTTCATTCTTTTTGCTATCATATCATATTTGTGCAGAAAGATTAAGTAGATTTTTAAAAATCAGGCTAAGTGCAGAATATAAATTGATTTTAGATTATCACTACCTGCTTACTTTTTTCCTGTTCTATTGTTCTTTTAACTTTCATATACCACCCTGATATTGCCTTTGCTGATAAAAAAAGCTTCAAAGTTATTAGAAATTTGAGTAAAGAATGTTCCAAGGAAACCTGAATTTAGTTGTATAAAAAGTCTCATAACAATCATATATTTTCTTTTTTTCTTCTAGGAATGCATTATTGACGAGGACTGTGTAACTGGAAAATACTGTGAATTCTCAGGTTTAGAGTACAAATGTCGTGACTGCAAAATTGAGCACAAAGTGAGTTTTTCATTTTTCACATGTTGTTAATGAGGTGGGCTGAAATTAGTTAGTGGATTAAACACTGAATTATATTTCTTGCATGATGCTTGGAGCAGTTTTCTATTTTCAGGGTCCATATGCAATCAATCTTAGGTATCATTCCATAAACTTCAAGGAGAATGAGATGCTAATGATGTGTTTCCTTTATTCCCCTTCAATATTTGATTTATTAAATGAACCTCTGGCTTGTGACATTAAAGGGATTAATATCCACTGGCATGAACCCAAACTCTTTTTATAACTACATGATACTTTATATTTCCTAGATAGAGTCTTTGATCTTTCAGATTTATTCTGGGTTGCTGTGAAGTCATTAAAACTAACTGGAACAAGATCAGGGTTCTTATAAAGGTATCTTTTCGGATAACTGGCCATTCTAATTTGTTTCATAGTATTAAATGTTTTTTTCTCTCCTTCTTCTCATACAGATAGTACACAAAACCTTGTACATACACACATTTACAATCTTAGAAATGTCATAAGATGTACTTATTGCAAGAGGCTAAGAAGGATACCTTCAAGAATTCTGAGCAGTTTATTTCTCTAGTGCCTGATTACTTTCTCAGCCCTTTTCTGCTACCACTGCCACCTGTGCTGGCATACATACAATGGTGTCGTGCATCTACCATATTTTTTTCTCTCTCCTGACCACCCTGCATACTGCAAGGTTGTCAAGAGCAAGGGGTCCTCAAACTTTTAAAGCTGAGGGCTGGTTCACAGTCTGTTGGGGGGTTGGACTATAGTTTGGGGGGGGGGGGATGAACAAATTCCTATGCACACTACACATATCTTATTTGTAATGCAAAAAATATATATGAAAGAACAATACAATATTTAAAATGAAGAACAATTTTAACCAACATAAACTTTACAGTTTTTCAATGGGAAGTATGGGCCTGCTTTTGGCTGATGAGAGAGTCAAGTTAACTAGGATTGTTGTTATTTTTGTGTGCCTTCAAATCATTCAGAATTAGGGTGACCCTAAGTCTAAAATTTAGGGTGGGGCCGGGTAAATTACCTGGGAGGGATGCATCTGTAGGCTGTTAGGAATTGTCGGAGTTGAAGTCCAAAATACTTGGAGGGCCGAAGTTTGCCCATGCCTGATCTAGAGATAACTGTTCTGCAAGAAAACTTACAAGAATGTGGTATCAAACCTAAAATATAATAGGAAAAAAATATTTTTCCTTTCTGTAGACATGGCCTGGCTTTGTGTGTCATCTTTTTTATTTACCTGAAATCCTTCTCCACAAATCTCTGTTTTCCTTGAAATTTTTGATAGAGCTACCTAGCCCCCATGCTCTTCTGCAAACTTACGTTCAGTCAATGTACCCACTTATGTTTTCAGTAGCTACACTTCGTTCCATTTCTCTTGGTGTCTTCTGTTGTTTGACCAAGGCTGATGGGAGTTGCAGTCCAGTAATTTAGGAGCGCTGTTCTAGATTGAAAGATCCATAGCTAGGGATCCTTTCCAATATTGAATTTTTAAAGCATATTGAACATGGGTGGTTTGTGTGTGCATGTTTCCATTCATGTATGTATGAGAGAGACTGCATGCATGCACACATGCTGGCATGTGCTGATTGGAAATTATGTGTTGATTGAAGATTTCTGCTATTTGTGCATTGCAACACAAAGACTGATCATCTCCTTCTGTTTGCTTTGCCTGCTCTAATCAAACGGTATCTTCATGTTTTGTGTTGGTGAGCTTGATGGGAAGATTGTTATGATGGGATTTAGGGCTTTATATAGTGACTGAAACAGTGGTGGGGTGTGTTTTTATAGTTGAAAACTGATTAAACAGGTTTGTTTAATGCAGTTCCTTGCTGTAATCATAACTTATCTGCAACTGGCTTCTCACCATTGTCTTGATTATTTATCACTGTTCACTGACGTTTAATCTTTAGTTATTGACATGTATATTCCTTTTTCTCCCTTCTCCCCACATCTATCCCTAAGCGTTGTTCTCGAGATGTGGAGTGTTGTGGGCACCAACTCTGTGTCTGGGGAGAGTGCATGAAAACTGCTTCTAGAGGAGAAAATGGAACAATTTGTGAAAACCAGCATGACTGCAATCCTGGAATGTGTTGTGCATTCTCAAAAGGTTGGTCACATTATCATACTTTCTGTTGTTCTTATTCTTTTCCAAGCATGAAAGGTTTTTCCCTAAGTCACTATATCAAAGTATCAGCTCCTATTTTAACTATGTCAGCTAAGCTGTGTTAATATTACTAATGAATATTAAAGTGCCTATTGGATATAGATGGTTTACACATGGGATGAAATGAGAAACCATTGTCCTCAATAACTGGCCATCATATTGTCGAAAAAGAGCATATTTTACCTCTTGGTAATTCTTTTAAAATTTTGTCTGGAAGATGTGCTGCTAGAAATGCTAAGATATGGTTCACCATGTCTTGTGTCCAGAGGGCAGCTCAGTGTTGGAAAGAATTAGATTGTTTCAGACATTCCTTGAAATGAAACAAACTTGCCAGTGGATTTCCTATACAAACTAGTAAAACATGATGGGAAGGAGTTAGGAGCTCCCACTGTCTCTTACTCTCTTGGCCTTTTGTAAAATGGGAAAAAAACTATTATTGTGTAAAGAAATACCTGGCACAGAATAGTTGATGACTATGTTGAAATCGAGGGGCTCACCCCTCATCATTTTTTGTAAATCCTTATAGACACCTTATATCCTCCTCCTTGAGCAGGAAATACTGTAAGAATGTTGAACTTGTAAAATGTTGAACCCCAGAAATCTTCTCCTGTTGTTGCCCTGCTTATACTCTGGGTGCCTCCCAGTTCGGTGACTTCTTGAAGGGAAGGTAGCATCAAAATCCAAAGCAAAGTGAAGGACACTGGGAAGTACACATGAGACAAATTACATTTGTGTCATGATTTCTGGTATGGGTTTGAATCTATGTGCCATTAGTGATATATTCTATTTTTGCAGCCAAAGTGAATATTAAGAACTTACTAAACATTGTAGTTAGAGGTTTTTCAGGCTGTATGGCTATGTTCTAGAAGTAATACTTTTAGAACATGGCCATACAGCCTGAAAAACCTACAACCACCCAGTGATTCCAGCCATGAAAGTCTTCGACAACACATTGTAGTTAGATCTTAGTACAGAAAAGGACAGCCATTAGCTTAAAAAATAGTTTTAGCTCAAAGAGTTAAAGCATTGCATGTCTAAATGTCATCCCCATGTGTACTAACTCTTAAGTGGACAAGATCAAAAGGATAATTGAACTCTCTCATGTTTGCCCACAGATCTTCTGTTCCCTGTGTGCACTCCACTAGCTGGAGAGAGAGAGCCTTGCTATGACCCTTCAAACATGCTTCTTAACCTTATTACCTGGGAGCTAGAGCCGGATGGAGCCCTTGATCGTTGTCCGTGTTCCCATGGATTCATCTGTCAGGTTCAGAGGTAAGACTTAGGAATAAGTGCCACAAGCCTAAATTGCCTTACCAGAGCTGCAGGTCTAAATGATTCTTTAACATTGTGCAATTTTAGCATTATGATTACATTTTAACTGGCATGACAGCATCCAGTGGAAATCTGGGATTTGTAGTTTGATGAGTCAAGAGAGCAGTCTGACTGAGAATTCTAAATATTGCTTCCTAAACCAATAGGATGTTGTCATAGCTGTTAAGATGGCAATCATGGTACTACAACTGTGCCCCAAGACTTGTATATGAACAAGGGCTAATTTTACTATAGTTGCTACAGCTTCTCTTTTCCTCTTGAACTCTTTATTCCTTCTGAATACAAAATTATCTTGCTTCTTTTAACTTACTTCTGTTATAATTGTTTCCTTTTTTTTTTTTTTTACATTTGAACACCTCTTCATTTGTTTTGATAGATGTTTGGACAGATACGGTATATGATACTGGTGGGGACAACAAATCCTTAAAAAAGTTGAACTTGTGGTACATCCTGCAAGCATTAAAGCCAGAAAGCTTTAATGAGGGAGATGAGATTTGTTTTATCTAGATACATGAGCTAGGAAAATATGGAAGAAAGTCCTTAAATAACCTTAGTGTTAAGGTTAGTGTAAAGCAGAAAACCCATATCCTTATCTCTGCTAAAAGAAGTGAGTTGATAAGGAAGTCACAATTTCGTTTCCACATATAACAAAAATATTTATTTATTTACCATATGTATACCCTGCCCTTCTCATCCTGCAGGGGACTCAGGGCGGCTTACATATATAGGCAGCGATTCAATGCCAAATAAACATAACATATATCAGTAAAATAAACATATATATTAAAACAATCATTAAAAACATATGAAACTTTATAAACCACTTATTTAAAATAATGCAATCTGATATCATAGTCTGTGATGGTTCCAGCTTGTCATTGCATTATGGAATAATGCAATGACAAGCTGGAACCATCACAGACTACGATATTGGATTGCATTATTTTAAATAAGTGGTTTTTAATGTTTGATATGTTTTTACTGATTCCATGTTCTCTTATTGCACTAGTAGATTGCTAATTGAATTATTGGTCCCACATCCATGTTTTTAGCCTTTTCCTGAAGGTCAGGAGGAAGAGGCTGATCTAATTTCACTTGGGAGAGAGTTCCATAGCTGAGGGTTCACCACTGAGAAGGCCCCGTCTCTTGTCCCCACCAACCGCACCTGCGAAGGAGGCAGGACCGAGAGCAGGTCTTCCCCAGAAGATCTTAATATATTTATTATTTATTATTTATTTAAAACACTTATATTCCGCCCTTCTCACCCCAAAGGGGTCTCAGAGCGGAGCACAACATATACATGGCGAACATTCAATTCCTGGGTACAATACATAAACATTAAAAACATTGGGTTGTTGTAGGTTTTTCCGGGCTATATGGCCATGTTCTGGAGGCAATATTTCTCCTGATGTTTCGCCTGCATCTATGTCAGGAGAAAAATTGCCTCCAGAACATGGCCATATAGCCCGGAAAAAACTACAACAACCCAGTGATCCCAGCCATGAAAGCCTTCGACAATACATTAAAAACATTTATCTAAATATTAAAATACACCATTTTAAAATAACACAATTTAAAACGGTCCTAGCCATCTGCATCAAATCCAATTGGCCCTGTCATCTATCCCATTGTTGCTTCATTGCCCTGTCCCAAAAGCTTGGTCCCACAGCGAAGTTTTTACCATCCTTCTAAAGGACAGGAGGGAGGGGGCCGACCTGATCTCACAAGGAAGGGAGTTCCATAGCTGGGGAACAATCACCGAGAAGGCCCTGTCTCTCGTCCCCACTAAACGCGCCTGTGACAATGGCGGGACGGAAAGCAGGGCCTCCCTGGAGGATCTTAATCTCCGCGATGGTACATAGAGGGAGATGCGTTTGGACAGGTAATATAATCTTATTATAATATATATTTTTAATCTTTATTTATAAATTTACCAAACAAAATGTATAAGCATACATTCTTCTCTCATTATAATACATAACCCCCTTTCTCCTAGTACAGGACTCAAGTCCACTTACAAACAATTAAAATTGTACTAAAACTATTAGTACAAAAGTTTGAAAACAAACAATTTTATTTTAGGAATAAAAAAGTCATAAAACATTGCAAGCACAGCACAAGCTATTGAAAGCAACTGTCATTTGAATCAAGAGTCAAAGTTAACAAAGGCAAAATCACATAGTGTGTGTTACAATAATCCAGCGGGGATGTAATTAAAGTGAGTGTCACCATGACCAGATCTGACAAACCCAGGAACAGGCACCGCTGTGCACTAGTTAGCCGTACAAACACAGTCCTGGTTACTCCTAAAACCTGGGTCTAGAAATATGTATAAGCAGTGAACCTGAGATTTCAGGGGAATTTATCCAGCCCAGACTTTATTTCCTGATTTCCTATCTAACTTGCCAGTGTATTGCACTGGTCTAGCACTAAAACAGATTCTCTGGATTTAGATGGAAAGGAGAGATAGAGCAGGCTGTCAGCAGTATACTTGTGACATTGAATGCCAAAATGTTGGATACCTTCTCCCAGGGATTTTATGTAGTATTCCTTTTCTGTTTGTGTGCTGACTTCTTCAGTACTTACAACTATAACTTCTTTTCCTGCTCAAACTTCACTTAAATTTAGAGGTGGGCTGTGCTCTCATCAGTCAACATGAGGTCTTACTCCTAGGATGCGTCTTTGTCACCATGCTGGTACAGCTGATGTGATACTTTAAAAATCTGAGTTGGTGAAACTATTCATTGGAGCGTGTGCTTTCCCCCACAGTCTTAGCAGTGATTCTCTTTGTGAACGTTCCTTTAACAAGACCCAAACTGAGGATGAGAAGCTTTTGGTAGACGATGAAACATCACTTCTGGATTTTATATCTGAAGACATTCCTGGTGACTATGGAGCAAGACTGATCAAAGAAGTGCAGGAAGGCTTGGAGGAAGAAGCAGTTGACTCAAAGGAATTGGATATCGCCAGTGACCTGCTTTTTGGAGATGAAATATAAATTAATGAAGTAAATTAATTTGTCGTTTACACATTTTCAGCCAAGGTGATTTATTGTTTTATATTTTCAAACAAGCCACACATACCACCATTTTTCTGTGTTGGATAGAAGTGCAATAATTGAGAATATATTTTACATAGTTATCATCTCTGTCCTGCATGATCAGATGTTTCTTTTTCTTACCAATCCAAACCAAATTATGCACCAAAGCATCAAGCACTTGCTTTGGGTTTTTTTTAACAGAAAAAGACTGGAATTATGTGTCATTGTATGCTTAACCAATTACTGAACCAAGTAACATGTGGTTTAGCACTCCAAAACCTGACAGAGACATAATTCAACTATTCACAAGTTGCCTGTAGAATGGCTCTTCTGTTTCCCATGCAGCTGATGACTGAAAAGTAAGTTGGTGAGCAAACTAAGATTGTGACTATAGTGTCAAAATTGTGACAAAATAGTTGTAACCCCCCTCCTCCCAGCCTATTTAATGGGCATCAGCTGCATGAAGAGAAACAGGGCCATCTCCCTAACAATCGGAACATGGTGGCATTTTTCTTCTAGTCATGTTTTTTTAGGAATGGGCCTGGATAATTTACCTTCAGTAGTTAAATACAAGGCGATGCAGGATTCTGGCCAAATTCTTGAGCATTAAACTTGCCAATCAAGATATTAAATTTATTTAAGATTATTGGTCATGGTTTGAGTTCAACATTTTCTGTATATTTTGATTGTTCTTTTTCTAACAAAAATCACAGGAGGAACCTTGATTTTCTGTTCTAATTATGTATTCTTTTCTTTTAAAATATGTGTGGACTTGCAATAAATACCATAGTTGTGTTGTAGTTTTTAATAGCATCTATAGAACTTAAGGCGTTCAGGTGAACTTGAGATTGACTTGGGAGTTTCTTCCCTTTGAGAAATGCCGGTAATGTAATGGTGCCCCTGACAAGGCTGGTCAAGCAGTATTGGGTCCTTTTATTTTACAATGGCCTGGAATCTGATATTATCCCAATATGGATCTGGATTCCTCAAAATATGGGAGAGTCTTTATACAACTTAGGAGCTCTAGTTGCTGGAGATACTTAAATGTGGAAGTTTGCCTTCATTCTCACAAAAAAATACAATTTGAAATTCCATGTCATACTACAGACCATCATGTAACCAAAGACAGTGTGAGCCAAGTAGCATATTCCAATTTCCCTCCTTTGCTCATTCCAGAGAACATCTTCAAGATTGAGATATACTAATCTACCCAGATAGATGGTTAAAGTGTTTTCAGTATGTGGTGTTGGCTGCACAGTTCAGACTGCTCACCTTTGGGAACAGCACAGAATACTTGAATTTATCCTACTTTGTAGGAATGCGGAGTAACCAGTGGAAAATTGCTGGTACTTAGGGGCAATGGAAATTATGTTGAATAATCTATTCTTGTGTCTGTCACACACACGGTTATAGGTTGGCTGCATCTGCAAGCAACTATTCATATTTTCTAAAGGAATTAACATTCCTTTCTACTTCTGATATTTTCAAAATGTTATTGCCTTGCTTTTGTCTGTCAGAAGGACTGGGTCTACCCTATCCAATCTGTCATCGATCCACTCTGTGCTGCATGCAAATCTACCATTTGCCAAAATATACAATCCTGTGCTTTTCTTTTCCATTTCTGGTTGAATAGCTTAACCATTGTTTCATCTCATGTGGTCTCTTGGTATCCAGTTCATTAATCAATATGTCCATCTTTTGTTCATGCTATATGCCCTCCCCATCTTCTTTTTGCCACATAGATTTCACTGACCATGTCACATACCCTGGTTCTTTGACACAACTCTATTGCTGACTTTATCTCTTGTCATTCCACACAGCCTTCTTTGCATTGCTCTCTGGGTCACCACCTGTTTTTCCTCCTCTAACTTGTTTCAGATTATGTAACATTGCCAGTAAAGCTGTACTGTTGAAGATACCTGCTCTGACCTTCATTGGCAGCTTATCATGTTAGCACTGTTTGGTTTCTATTAAAAGCTGTCCAAGCTGCCTTGCATCTTCTTGCCCATTTACCATTTTCCAAATTATTCTACTCTACTTGTCCAAGAGATACATATTCAGTCACGTCCTCAATTTCATCTCCATTTGTAACTTTTATGCACATTTCAACAACCTGAAATCTGCAGTCTGGACCAAAAAGTTTGAAAAACCCGTGGATAAATTTTTTTAACTTGGACCACAACAGCCTCTTTGATTTGTCTTTGTTTCAAACTGAAGTGTCATCTCTTTCAAGCACCGAGAACATTGCTGGATCCATAGACCTAAGGCCTTAGCACAGCATGGTCTCAACGTAGACCAGTGGTTCTCAACCTGTGGGTCCTACCAGCTGCTAGGATTTCTGGGAGCTGAAGGCCAAAATATCTAGGGACCCACAGGTTGAGAACCACTGACCTAGAGTATCCTCTAGGTTGAACTCATACACCACATAAATAAAATTATGTATAGTAACAATACACTGTTCTAAACTGTCACTTTGGATACCTTTGAAGACAGAAGAAAAAATGTTTTACCAGTTGATATATCAACTGCTTATTAATCATACTTGTGAAAATATACATTTTAAGTTATTAACTGCATTTCTGGGATCCAGAACAAACTTGCTAGAAGTGCTGTGTTTGAAATCACCTATATTCACACACAAGTGCAAAATAATTTCTACTGAAAGCTATCTTTTTGTGAAATAACATTTTCAGTGTGAAAAAAGAAATCCAGAGGCATGGTTAAAACAACAGAATGAACAAATGTTTTATTGGCATGTTCATTGTTGTAAACAGCATCTGGCATGGAAAAAGTTTACCAAAACCTTTAACTAATTGATATAAATTAGATGGTATTTTTAGAATGGAAACAAAAATGAGATAAAACACTCTATAGAATGATTTGTAATTGATCTTATAATGTAGCAAAGCAAAATCTTACTTGTCTAAGTTTTGCAATGAAATCATGTTTACTGCATCAGTCTGTACCACATTTTGAACTACTGGAGAGTTTACTGGGAGGTGTTCAAAGATGTCTAACTTAAAAAATCTACATATAAAATGATGAACCAACTCCAGAAAAAACAATGTATGACTTGAAATGGTACTCAAAAATGCAAACTTGCGAGAGCTCGAAGACAAAAATGTACAAAAATAAGTAGCTGACCCAAACAGAAACAAAATCCCAAAAAACTCATTAACAAAGAGAAATTACAAATCTAAGTACCCAGCATTGCCAAACATAAAATGAATACAAATTTAAATAGGCAGCTATACTTTTAAATGTACACAGTGAATATTGATATGTGAAAACAAACAACATAGTAATCTGATGAGTTGTAGTTCTGCCAACTCAGAAGGGCAGAGTTGTATTTACACACTGAATGGAACAGGGAAGTTACCTGCACCCATAACCTAAATAGAATTCAGTTACAACACTTCTGCAAAATGAAATGCCACCTGCTGGTATGATAACTTTTTGCTAAAAATACTTTTTTTCTTCTTCCGATGTCTTGTTCAGTGGAAGAAAAATCCAATGAGATTCTGTTAAAATTTTTAACTTTTCAGGGGTTGCGTTCTGCCAATTTCCTCACCTTTTCAGTCCACACTTATGCTTTTTAAAAAGCCACTGTCACATTTACTTCAGAAATCTTCCATGAGGTAATGTGTGTATCAGTGAAACAAACAAAAGAATTCATTCATGGCCTTTGCACAGCTTTTATTATCAAGCTATGAATATCCTGTTTGAGGCTAGCTTATCTAGCTACTGCTATGTGCACACTGTCCTCGTTTTTTGCATTCTACCCTCCCCACCCCATTTTTGTATTTCTCTTTTTATTTGCACATCCCTTTTCGCTTTACAGTACATCGACTATAGTGCACAACATGATTCCGAGTCAAACAGTGACCTGACTGGGCACTGAGCTGGATTGGGCTGCAGTTTTGCCAATCAGTGCTGGTGTCTTCGCTTTACACCGAATGTCCTGCCGCAATGGCACTACACAGTAGTAGTGTACCTCTCTCACACTTAAGAAAAATACTTTCCAAGAGAAAATGCTGAAATAAATATCAGTCTTGAGTCAAATCTTTATTTGGCGCTCCGTCCAGATATATTTTTAGTGCTTTTTCTTTACGAGGGGAGTAGGTCACACGGTGTCCAGTTTTCTGAAGTCGGCTGCTTTCTTTTTTCATTAACTCATTTCTTTGTTCTTCTGTTAGTTCCACCACTTCCTCAGTTTTATCCCTAGTAATCAAACAAAACAGAATTTAAGTTATAAAATAGTACCACCCACCAATTCTCCTGTCTCACTTAGAGGCTTAAATATTTTTTCCAACCTAGTAATGAGAACCGAGTCAAGAGTTTTAAACAAATGTTTCTTCTATATAACTCTGGATACACGATTGTGACAGAGCTGGATAATATGTATAGGCTGCTTTCCAAGTGGGAAGTAGCAGTTCCCATGATAAATCCAGGAACAAGCAGGTACTGTAGAGTTTGCAGTATAGGGAACAGAAACAATTGGTGTACACAACATTTTAATGAGAACAATAATAGTTTTTGAGCTAGTGCAATATTTATTTATTTATTAGATGCACTTATTAACCGCCATTCTCAGCCCTTACGGGCAATAGGGAAAATCAAAGCTGCTGGATCTATAGTCCACAAAGAGTGGCCCTGCTTGTTTATTTATTATTTATCATACTTCTATCCCACTCTCTCTCACTACAAGGGGGACTCAGAGCAGCTTACAAACTGGCAAAATTCAATGCAACAATAAACATACAAAAAGCAATACATTATATAATTAACTAAAATCTTTAGTTTCTTCATTTTCCTTAAAGCCTCTTTTTAGCTACAAATCCAACTACATGAAGCACATATTCTAAGATACTTTTTAAAAGGTGCAACTATGCCAGCACTAAAATATTAACATTATTAAAGTAAGATGATTAGGAACAAACTTAGGCTTCTTGTAAACAGGGTTAGCAAGTCCACTTGGAACATCAAGCTTAAGCAGAATGGCCCATTCCTGACTGCCCTAAATATCACTGAAACTTGTTTTTCATATTTCAAGTGCACTGTATGACTTTTAACAATCACAAAAATTATATACCTATAAAATATCACTGCTCCATCATCACAAATATAGAGAGGCCATACATTCAGTGTAGAAACCTTAGGATTCCAGTCCAAATCCTGATGGATTTCTAGAACAGATATCTCACAAGGAAATGTTCCTCTGCCCTGAAAAGAAGAGATGTACATTAGCGAACAAGGATGTCTGTATGTTCATGCACATGCAAACACACACAGTATGGCCCAATCCTACTATTCAGCTCAAAAACAAGCAAGGTGAGAACATCAGTGTCAGAGCTCACTTTGCTTCCACTTATTCTCTGCCCTTCCTCTAAACACATAAATCAGCCTACTATCCATTACTGTATTATTCAGAAACAAATCTCTGGCTTAGCTGGAAGCACATGGGGTCAAATTTTTAGCCAGTCACAGATTTAACACCATGAATTGGGCAGACATGAATGGAAGGGTTCTTTCTGTTCAATTGATAGATTCTGAACTATCAGACGACTCCACTGAAGGAAGGAGGAAACCTTAATGAGCACTCCTACATACCCATTAAAATCTTTATAGACAGTTAAACAAGCTTTCAGAATTGTAAAGGATCCTCCCTCCCACCCACCCACCCACTTTCAGGGAGTGTTTTGTGAGTGTGAAATTGACTCTCTTAGTGGAGCACTGGATAGCAGTCAGTACAGTAACAAAATTAATATCTCACCTTTGCAAACTCAATGTTTTCTAAAGAGATTCCACTAATTTCACCCAGCTGTTAAAAAAAACAATCCGAGAGTCAACTTATCTGATGTAGATAAATGCAGTTTCATATTAACAAACTAGAAGAAACAAATATAGAGTAGAAAGATAAAAATAACAAGGCCAGCAAAGAACATGCCATCCTACAAGAGAATATATTACAAGCCAGAGACATATGCCCATTCAGGTGGCCAATGAAATTAATCCACTAAACCATTTCCCACCCCTTATGCCTTGTGTCATTTACATTTTACACTTGGAAGCTGACTCTTAAGTACTCTGGGAACAGTTTTTGGTTGAAAACTCGGATGTTTTTGAAATGTAATTTTAAAAAAAACTTTTAAAATTTTGTTCAAGAGAACAGCCCACTATTAGAATTTGTCTTGTCAGGATTAAGTGTCACGCGAGAACAGGACAGATAAGGTTGTAAACATAATTTTAATTACCTTTTCTTTTAATTCATCAACACTACTACTCTCCAAAACTACTTCCTGAAAAGGATCCAACTTCATCTCTGATGGCCTCCATCTTCTTGACAGAACAGCAAGCTGCGACATAGATTTCATTTTTTCTGCCCCTATGAAAATTGTAGAGGTACTATAAACACCTGCAGAATGTATACTCATCAGCTCAATGGTAACCCTCAAATGTAATTAATTTTAAACTTAAATTCCCAATTTGAACCTCTGCCTTGAAAGTAAATCTGTCATAACTAATCTGGTGATCTAAACTATGTTCTTACAGACAGATGATTGAAGGAAACATTTGTTCTTCAGAACTACCATTATATTTCAAATATTTAAGAACTACACATTGTTCCACCAAGGCTGTAATTTTAGATACATTTAGTCAGGAGCAAACTTTCTTGAACTTGATGTATGTATTCACTTTCTAATACATACACCCATATCCATATCCATACTCATCTATCCATCCATCTATCTAAAAAGTCAGGCTTTTAAAAAACTGTTTCACTTCAGATAAAGTAGTTACCTAGTTACTACACAATAACTATAGTTAATGAATTCTAAATCATTAACTGAGCAGCATAATTACCATCAAGTATTTCAAGGAAAACCTCCCAGTTACTTGAAATATTAATATCTTCTTCATAAACATGATAATCCAAAAACACAGTTCCTGGATTTTTCCACGTTTTCTTTCGTAACCGGAATCTATAGG